TTTGAGTTCTTGTCGGGAACGTTTTTCCCGCAGCTTCGTTTTTGGATTTACTACGGCCAGCCAGCTCCCTGTCGTCCGTACCTGCCTTGGACTACCTTTGTTTATTAAACACGTTGAAACTTTATTTTTGTCAGTCTCTGCTTTGGGGTCCAACTACCGGTAGTATCCAAACGTCACATGCCCATTGCCATACAGGTTATTTTATGGAGGCATCATTCACATGTTACTCACCAGGCAGTCTGTTCATGTTGACTCCCTGTGCCGACAGGCCGATGCCCATATACCTGCACGAACAAAAATCAAACAATTACTTAGCATGAACTTACATTTAAATATACTGGCAATCATTCCAGAGTATCAATGATTTAGGTGTTTTATCAGACAACTTAGAATATTCAGATCCCTCCTTTTATGGATGTCAGGCAGAGGTAACTTTGAACATGCTGTCTTTGATCTGGCAGAGCGAGAGGCCTCAAAGTGAGAGTCGTAACATCAAACGTGACAACGAGAGATGAAGCTCAGGGGTCAGCGTGACATCATAAGTCTGTCACACTTGGATAAGCACTTGGCCTGCACCCTTTTCATGTTAGGAAGCTCAAGAAAGCACAGCAAAAACCCTTTTTACTCAATTGAAAGAGTCATCAATATCGTCAGTTGAATGAGTTTGGCAGAGACTCAGCATCGCTTTGGCACATGCTTATGTCATCACTCAAATCCCAGCATTAAACTACTTCTTGTGTTAGCCAAATGGATGGACCTACTCACAAGTTTCCTGCTTTTTCTTCAATGACATGTAGGATGTAAAAGGGGGAAAAAGACACTGGTGTCACATGAGTAAACTGGAAGAAGTTTTTTAAGGAAGTTGTCCGACAAGTTGAACTAAGAGTAGAAGAAACATGACGCAGAGACTGTTTCATTATTCATTCATCCAGTATAAAACAAGACGCAGATTTAAGTTAAGGGACCACCAGAGTTATTGCAATCCATTCACCCTCTGATTGGTTAGCTGGCCGGCTCTGTTGTGATTGGTCAACTTCTTAGAGATGTCCCACCCCTTAGTCTATCACATACAATTGTATTTTGGTTTAGTTTGTATATGCACGTTCTTTACCTGGAAATACATGTTATTGTAGTGGTGTGTTATGACATTACTCATGCAGTTATTCCTGACACACTGCTTATATCTGCACTTTAAGAATGAAAGGAATGTTCATACAGAAGTCTTTGTGCTGCACTATATTATTTATTATTGCTCATTATTTTGTGTTGCAACTCAAACATGGTCTGCTTCTGGTCCAGTGAACCTGACTATTCCTTCAAATAATCTGGTGCTGTCTGTTGTACAATACAGCTTTATTTATAAAAGCACTTTAAAACCTCCAGACCAAAGTGCTGTACAGTCAAATAACAAACAACACACAAGTACAAGTAAAGTACAAGTAAAAACAATAGACAATTTAAAAGCAATAAAAGCAACAATCTAAAAGATGTCAATACGCTAAGGAGAAGAGGTGGGTTATAAAGTTATAACTCAAGCTGCAACATTGTTTTGGAAGGCTTTCCTATGTACAGTAGTAGTAGGTACACACAGACACTCCTACACTGTAGTTGTCTTTCACACCACTGTTTGGCTTTGTTGTGTTTGCCCTGAGCTGCTCAACTAGAACCAGGGAGTGTCAACAGTTTATTATGCAACCTGAGGCTTGTGTTGGGGAGGATGGACAAGTGTTCCAGTTCCAATGGAGATTACAGGTCAAAAGTTGAGTTTTAAAAACCAGTATTCTGAAAACTTGCCAGAGTTTTTGCAGTATCGCTGGTACTGATAAACAACCACAACAATCCGCACTGATGCAAGAAGCCACCTGGCTTAATGTCAAATAATTAAATAAATACATTTAGTTGATTCAGTTACTACTAGTATAAGTGTATGACTTCTCCTATTCTGGCTGCTATTTTGGCGCAAACCAAGCCTAGATTGGTTTAATCATTGGGGAAACATTTGGTTAGCACTGAGTGTACTTATGTCAAAAAATCCATTCAAACAATAGCATGAGAAAACTGTGCAACCAGCTGTTAAGAAGCACGATTTTGCACTAGTGCCTGCAGAATAAATGCGTTACCATCTGGCTACAAACCACTAAAAAGTGTAAAGGCTATTCTCTGCTGGATGTTCTTTTTGTAATGTCCCATTTCCGGTTGGGGGAATTGTCACCTTGAGATCATTCTGGAACAGCAAGGATGCTTCATGTGATTTTACAGCTCCATAGAACCTTGACAGTCAGGTTTTTGGAGTGTAAATGTCTACTTCTGTGGATGTTACTCTCACTTTTGTGGCAATAAACTATTAACAGACAGCTGATGCAGGTATTGGCAACAACACTGTCACCACTATAGACAGGAGATAGAGGTCAGAAGTGACATTTTTGGAGGCAGTGTTGTATTTGGCAATGAACTTGGAACAGTGATATGAAGATTACTGTTATTTATGCAGATTCAAGGTGAGTGAAATGCTGCAGAAGCAATTTCACAAATTCATAAGCAGTGACCAAGGGATGTGTGACCTTTTCAAAACAACCAAAGCAAAGACAACTCACACTCTGATCATGTGATGTTTGACACATTATGAAGGGAAATACAACCACAGAACTAGATATACATCTAACGCTTTACAATAGACATACAAATAAATCATATGTACTCTGGTGCTGAGAATATTCCAGCATATACTTTACTTCCTAGATAAAATGTTATAAAGATGTAATGGATAGACAACAAGCATTGGCGATGGATCTATCAATTGTCATATATTCTAGGTGCGTATATATGATGCCATCAATGTTGATAGCACGCCACTGTTAGCATCTCAAAATGCAAATTGAGCCTTTTAACACAATAAGAATGCACGTTTAATGTCAAGCATTTTAGCATATGAGGGTTCATACCATCAGCATGATAATGCAAAAATGTTGGATATGAGCTTAACATGCACTTTTTTAGGCATTTTACAATTCTAACTTTGAGAGAGCACAAAAAATGAAGTGCACCAATATGAGGTCTTCTCTTCTCCAGTACTGTTTTGCATGTTAAAAAATGTAAACTTGGCTATCATTTAGCTTTAGCATATTGGCAAGCTATGACTAGATTGTATGTCAAACCTAACGTTGCCTTGCAAGACTTCTATGTTCAAATGTGTTTGTAGCACATCTTATGCCTACATTTATTAAGGGTTTTGCCTTTGAAGTACCCTGCTATAAATGACATTATGGGCAAGTATTATTAGGCATGCATCCCTCAGCAAACTCTGAATTTCCATACCGATTTTCACATCAATCCTTCCAATAACTCTCAAGACTGACCTATCAACCAAGCTATCCCAAGAGCAACCACATACATAAAAAGATAAATTAGACTCATGACCAATGGTTGCTTATGATGATGACTTATTGTTTGTTGCTAATAGCTATATTTTCTCCTAGATGGCACTTGTGTTCATATCCAGCGAATGCAGAGCATTGATATGAACATAAAACCTGAGACTTAACAGAGTAGGAACAATAAACACTAATAGCAGGAACTAGTGAAGTTTTTATTGTTGTGCCAATTTGTTTTGGCACCGAGGAAATGACAGTCATTAAAGCTTCAATAGTGTTGTATCTGCTTACCCATCTCGACCTTTGCTGACAATCTTGACTTCAAAGTAGTAGATCCCACAGGCAGCAGGGATTGGTTGTGTTGCTCGCACTGATGCTGCGTCCTTGTGGTTCTTACCATGACCTGCAAGAATACAAATACTAGGTGTTACAAGAAGGATTTGGTAGCTCCATTTCATTGAAAGAGTCTTCTCTTAATTAAATTGAGTTTGCATTGAGAACTAAGCTGACAGTTGACAGTGACATTTTGCAGCCACTTCCAATTGTATTTCACTAACACAATGGAGATTTAAAACAACATTGGAACAGATTGCTTGCTTTGATTGCTGGTTTTCTGACAAAACTGGTAGAGCAGACAAACACATTCACCAAACTGGTTTGGTTGTTTGCTAAGTTTAATTCCAAAACAGAGGGAAAGTCGACAGCTCATAAACATTCTACATTTGTGCACTCAACTGCCTTTGTTGTCTCATGAGCTGTCACACATCGTCTGCATTTTGTTTACACCAGCTGGTGGGTGTTAAGCATCTCAAATGCCCAGTGTCTAAGAAATGTAACTCCAGCTTTACACAGTCAAACTTATCGAAGTCAAAACATTTGAACAATCAAAAAGGAAAAAGTAAGTTACTGGAATATCAACGTCAAAAAAGAAGATAAATCATATTCTTTTTTACATGGACAATGTATGCATTTCTAAAATGTTACAACTCTATTATGCAAAATGTGATAAAAATTTAAAACTCATAAATCTCTTTAATTCTATAATCTTAAACTTTCAACATATTTTATGACCAATCAAGATTTTGTCCGGTGCCTTGCTCAGGGCACCACGGCAGGGCAGGAGGTGAAGTGGGACCTCTCTAAGTAGCAGTCCACACTCCATATTTAGGTCTGTTCGGGGACTTGAACCAGCGGCCCTACTGCTCACAGTCCAAGCCCCTACTGACTGAGTCACTACCGGAGAGTGATGCAAGAATGAGTCCTAAAACCCTTAAATTAGTTAACATTCTGCCACTTTCCTGTTCCCTCGTCTTGAAGTCGCGTTCGTAGTAACATGCCTGAAATCAGGTCTGTGGTAAACACAAGCTTTAGAGATATTCATGTTTTGCTTTATGACTTACAACACTTTGGTAAATACACCACTGTTGACTGTCTAAATCTTCAACGAGACTACATAATGCCATCAACATTAGCACACAGACATGCAACCATGATGACATTTGTTTATAGCCTAACGTTGGCTAGTTAATTCTGGAAATTGCATTTAAGTTTAAAAAAGCATAGACTATGGTGTTAATATGAACACAACTTGCAAGTAACAAACATGTGTTTGCCACAGATCCTATTTTCTGCAAGATCCAATGAAAAAAAGCAATTTCTCCAGTCGAGGGAGCCCCTGCGATGCTGACTTCCGGGTTGGCCTACGGAAATACCTCATCACTGCACCACTCTATAGTCCACACTTTTGTCGAGGTGACTCTTCGACAATTCCATGGTAAATAACAGATTTTTTTTTTTTTTGTGCGTAAAGATGAAGACTTTATCCACAATTAGTGGTGTAAGATGTAAGCAAAGGGGTCATAGGGCTCATGGTATTGTCTTTGAACCAATTAAATTGAAGCACAACAGTCATTACTGTCTGCTATTCTATATTCAGATGGCTGCTTATGCAATCCCTCGGGTCATGAGAGGAGGATAGAGAGAGAGAGAGAGAGACTACCATGTTCAGTTGTGTGTTGTTGTATAACTGCCATCTAGGCTCTACAGTAAACATGTGCATTTCTCTGTTACATGTAATCTGTTCTGATAGTCATTGTGAGCTCGTTGTGTACGTGTGTGTGTAAGAAATCTAGATAGGTTGTAACCTTAAACGAAGCAGCTGGCTGTCAGCAGACACCTTGAGCCTGTTGCTCTTGGTGTGTGCGTGTGCGTGTGCGTGTGCGACTCTTCGCACGCACACATACAGAACATATAGTGATGAATACAAATGCTAGTAAATGAAACCGAGCTTAGTGTTTTGGTCTATATTTAACTTTTATTTATTTTATGTAACATTTACACTTGATTTTAACGCTCATGAAATCATCACACAAGTGCCAACAATATTTAAAGAATACAAATGTCATGCATTCCTTACCTTAAGATGTTAAAACAATGATGGGGAATGTTAGGCTAATGCACAAAACTTATATATATATGCTTGTCCATCATTGTCATCAAATTAAAATGGTTTAAGAAAGAAATCATTACCATAACATTCACTTCCTCACGTTCTATAGCACAAATCTATATTTATGTTATCACTGCATGTGCGTGTTTGTGTGTGATTGTCCGGTCCAATGGCGGCAGGAACATTGGTGAAGTCTATTTTTAGCTGCTCCTTGTGAAAACGATTCGTCAGTAGGCCAACAGGTCTCTTTACAACTGCATAGATGGGTAGGAGAAATGGCTACTACTTTAAACATCTACTGCCCGCCAAAGGGTAATCCAAATGATGTGTTTATAAAAGCAAAAGGTTTACATCATGTAGGATTTTCCACATTATCCGAAATATTAACATAAGAATGCAACTATTTAGCTGAAGCAAAGGGTCATCTGGTAAAAAGCTCTGGAACAACATGCTGTCACCTTTCAGCTGTTATGTGACATTAAACCTCTTGACTGGAGGTTAAGGATCAAAGGTTAATGTGTTGTTCTTACAACATAGCACAGTGCGGCCCTGATGATAACTAGTACTTCCTAGGTTTAACCCTTGACCCCTACCAGGAGAAAGTGCAGAACTACGAACGCACTGCGCATGCGTGAGTGGCAATAACTCTCCTTACTAGCAGGCGGCGGTAGTGTATATTCTTCATTCAAAAAGAGGCAACAACCAAAAGACAGACCGAGAGAAGAAGAACAGACTGCGTGATATAAACAAACAACAAATAGCGTGTGCGACGTGCGTTCCATTTTCACTCTACAGCGAGAAGCTCATGGGGCTTTCCCGTTTCGCTCCTCATGCACTGATTCGCTAAGCTGAACAGCCAATCAGAGTGATGTTGAATCGGCGGCGGAAGGTGTCGGCATGGCCGATATGACACGACAGTGCAGGACACACCAATCTGAGTAGGGCGACAGGACGCTCATCGACGGCCAGACATCTATCTACGCCGAAAATCGACCCGGTGGGTCCGGGCCTTGAGACCACGCCAGACAGAAGCAGAGTCGTTTGCTGAGAGCTGGTGTTGGAGTTTCTCAGAGAATTGTCGTTTAGCATCTCTCACCGCCTTGCCAAAGACGTACTTCGACTCTCTAAAACGTGACTTATCGCCACTCCTAAACGCCTCCTCCTTTTGCAATCTTAGCTGTTTCAGTTTAGCTGTGAATCAGGGCTTGTTGTTGTTGAAACGGAAGAGGAATCTCAGAGCCTACGAGCCTGTCATATTTCTCTAAGTTTGTGCCTAGGTCGCCTACAACAGAAGAGAAACCGAAGACGGACCTAGGAGACCCCTCCCCCCCCCTATAACTGACCAGTTTATACAATTCATGGCCCGTTTTGACTTTAGCAGAGGTCAGTGTACACATACATAGAACGGCGGTTGTGACCAACGGTTCGTCGCGAATAACCAACAAATCCGACCGGTAAGTACACAGCGCTCACAACTGTCCCCCCACCCTCGTGGAGTACTTGACATCGCGGCTCCTTGGAGCGTTCCGCGTCTCGCGTAAAGCGGTGTAATCCGGATTTACTCCAAACTCTAGACGCACTAGACGCACCTCCCTCCCCGTCGTCGGTATAGTCAACCGATCTTGATCGATCTAGACTACCTAACCTGTATTTGTCGCCCTCACTCACTATTGGCTGCGCTCTCCTCTCTTTCTGGTCGTGGACGTCGCGACGGGGCGGACACTCCCTGAGCGACCTCGCCTCCGTTTTGTCGTGAAAATCTGAACATCTGCAGTTCTTTGTCCTTGTTACCTTCGAGGGGCAATCCGGTCGAAGCTCACGGCATGGCGAGTATATATATGAAGATACCGGGTACTGACACTAGACCCACCTGAAGGTGCCAGGTGCAGCCGCCGACGGTATCAGACGGATGGGACGGAGATACTACAGGACGAGGACCGCCCACTAGATCCTAGATGTCCCCCCAGACCCATAATAGAGGAGCAGGGTCGTCATCCAGTCATGTTATCCACTGTCGAAGACCGAAGGTATAGTGATTGGGAGTTGTGAGTTCTTCGTACAGACCTTTTTATCTTTTGTTAGAATTACTGGAAATTTAGCTATATTGATTTAGGGTTACATCATCATGGTCAATGTATTGATGATTTATAAATGTAGGAATACGGCAGGTAGACGTTATAGGATTACTTATTACATGTTTTCGAACATTCAAATATATGTTAAAGCTTTTTAATATAGAAATTAGTGTACCTCCGTATTTCGCGGGTGTTCCCTTCTGTCTTTGGTCACTTATATACTGAACTTATTGTTTATCTGTACTTGCGACTAGGCTTGTACTCATAGCTGAGTTAATAATATAGTGGTATATAGGTATTCAACATCTTACGTCGTAATAGTGTTAAGTTTTCATAGTCACGTTTCCTATTGTAGATTTTCGCTCTATCGGCTTGTCGCTTCGTGAATCCAATCATGTGTATAGGTATATAATATTTCTTGTCGTCCATCTAGTATCAGTGACCGTCGAAAAAGGGGAGCCCGATACATAACAATTTGTCGTGTACGCCAGGGAGTCCATCACATTACTACTATTAACTTCCAACTTGTATAAAGGCGACGGTGCTATATTGTTTGTCCAGAGCACGTCTCAGTTTTGGGATTATGTCGCTAGCTGGGAATCAGCGAACGCACTGTATTGAAGTATTGTGTCTACTTTTTGGAGCGAGGTTCTTAGCGGACAAGCACATACATTTCATGCACAAGTTAGAAGTCGCTAAGATATCTTCAGTGACAATAGAGCACCATGAAAACGGTCGTTCTTCGTTGTCGTATGTGTAGAAGTTCTATAGATTTTCTTGGATGATAAATAGTTACTGGTGGCAACTACCTCCTGCAATGCAGTTCGCCTACGCAGAGACATCTGCAATTCAAATCACTAGGGCAACCTGGGGCCGACT